GCAGTAAAAGATAAAAGACTTTTTCTGTGTAACATCATGCATTATTAACAAATGGTAATCAGATAGTTGCAAGTTAGAATGCTTGATTGGTGAATTAGAGTGGCCTCAAGTGAGAAATAAGTCAAAGGAACCTTGATTTTACTTTCCTTCCCCCACACGCATAACCTTTAGACAAAAAAATATAATGGAGTTAGCTATGTTGGGTTTTATGATGTTTTGGGAAAATGTTAATCTTTTAGATTTGCTATGTTATATGTCTAAAGTGTGTGAAATTGTTAATATGAACAACGTTAGAGAGATTATATATATTATATTGATATTGATATTGATATGATAAATGATACGCATAACCAACATCAAATCAGCTATTTAAATTCATTATTTATTACATCAAATTAATATAAAAATGTAGTCTTCATAGCATTTTTTATTAATTAATATTGACCGTTGTTCTAATGAAAAACACAAATTTAGAACATGATTTTAATATGCAAATTGTTGGCTTCTTAGTCAAAATTGTTTTTGAGATTGGCATAATCTCTCATTTTAGTCCCTAAGATTTAAAATCGATAAAATTGGTCTATGAAAGTTTGTCTACCGTCAATCATTTTGATAATTCCGTGAAATTTTTTCGTTAAATAAGAATAAAATTACAAAAATACCCACAATTTTTAGCCCATTGTTTATTAAATTAAGAGTATTTTTGTTATTTTGTTCTTTTTTTAACGTATATTTTTAGGGAATGACTAAACTGATTGATGGTGGACAAACTCATAGACCACTTTTATCGATTTCAAATCTCAGGAACCAAAGTGAAGAGTTATGCCAATCTCAAAGATCATTTTGGCCATAATACCTACATTATTGTTTACTTAATGAGATAGCAACATAATGTACCATATATTTTTAATTAGATTAGCATGTAGCAATGTTTCGATTAGATTAACTAGCCAAAGGCACCTATGTTGATGAGGTGATCCATGCAAGTTCAGTAGCAATACATTCATAACAACTTTTGCATGATATTTTCCATGCATGCTGCTGAATGGATCTTTTGAGTGGTGGAGAGTGTAATTTACTGTATACAACCCACGATATAAGACAGATTTTTTCTACAAGTGAAAAGACACGTATAATCTTCATTAATTCGTGCATGCATGAGAAAGCACATATGCGAAAGAACACGTCGTGGAAAATACTTAGCCTTTAAATTTGTGCATGTCATATATAAAATGGACCACATGTTAAAGATATCACGAAGGAAACTTAGCTAGGGTGTGTTAGCAAGTGGAAGCCTTGACAACAAAACCTGAAAGCACAAGTCGACTTCAACACACCATCTATCTTTGCAGCTATATGCATGTAATTCAAGGCTAAAAGCTGATAGTTCGACCCAACGATCTCCTCCCCAACTAATTATTTGGTTACATATTGAAGAGCATCTCTAACACAAGGAAAAAAAAAGAAGAGCATTTCTAACAGATAACACAAATTTAGCTCTTTAAATATAAACAGATTTTTTAGTCAAAATGACCTCCGTGATTGTCAAAACTCATCACTTTGGTCCTTGATATTTAAAATCGATAGAAGTGTGGTTCCTAAGACTGTTCACTGTCAATCATTTTGGTCATTATGTGAAAAACCTTTGTTAAATGAAAGAAACTACCAGTTAAAAGAGAGGGATCGATTTGACAAAAATATTCTCTATTTAACAGAGATTTCTTACATAATGACCAAAATGATTGACGGTAGATAATCTCATAGACCACTTTTAAATCTCAGGGAGCAAAGTGAGAAGTTATACAATCTCAATGACCATTTTAGATAAAAAGCCATATAAATTTGTTGACCTGCGTGGCATTTTGAAGGCTAAAATTTACCCTTCAGAAATTTACATTTTCACGAACTCTTCAAATTTCAATACTTTATTTCACAAAAACAAAGTTCCAAAATTTCAGCAGTATGAAAAAGAATATCAAGAAGTAAAAGTTGAAAAGCACTTTTATTTACTTGGGTTTTTACTTAGAACAAAAGTGATCGTGATTGTGAATTTGTGATTGCCTTTCTGCTTGGACTACTGTCCCCTGCTAATTACTTTTAGGTAAAGGAGGAACTTGTATGGGAAGAAGGAAAAAAACAAATCATATTACAAGCTTTCCTTTTAGTAAAGATGATATGCGTGCCATCATCTTGTTGACTTCAGTGGTGGAATCTTAAGTTTTCCATTTTTGTGGGCTTTCAAAGACTTCTTCATGTCGACCAAGTCACCACCTTATTACTTCCACACCTTCCTCTCTTGATTTTCATATATATTTCTTCCCCAAGTCCATGGCCATAGTTTGGGTTTTGCTTCCTCTCCGGACCTCACAGTCCAGAGTTTAAGGACTAGAGAATTCAGACTATCCAGAGGTCCTTGGTTTGTATGAGATGAGTCAGCGGAATGAGTTAAAATGAATTGTTGAATTCAATTTGACCTGTTTGGATTACCTGTTCATTGAACTCCAGACAATGGGATCGGGAGAAGATTTTTGTCCATATTTTTATTTCAATTCATCTCACAACATGATGTAATTTTGTTCGGTACTTAAATTTTTCCCCAATTACATTGAAAGAAATCGAACTCTTAATTTGTTATAGTTCGAACCCTAATCCCAGTTGAACTCCCTCAACACAATACTTACTTATATTCTGTTTTTATAAACAACAAATTCGATACTAATTTACCATAATGGATCAAAAACGCTCTCTACGCTCAAAGACTTTGTATTAATCAGACTTTTGGTGTAAACGTTCACTCATAATTGTCATTTCGTGTGTGAATGAGGATCACAAGAAGTCAATTGGCAATTTGGAAGAGTGGTTCATAGTTCATACCTGCATGTTGATTATATTCAACCTCACAATGAATTCTTTCAGATAGGGTTTACTAGTTGTACAACCAACCCCACTTCTTGACTAATTAAGCAAAAATTTCAATCCAATAATACAAAAATAAAGCATATTTGCTATGGAATCTACTACTGACTTTTTTGGCTTAAGTCGTATTGTTCTTTTGGCTGATTTGGTATTGTTGTGTTTTGAAAAAAAATTGTTTTTGCTGTGCTGTGAGAATAAACTCATTTTTGATGCTTTACGTTTTCATTTTTTTTCACCTAAAACTGTGAAAATAAGTTATTTTTAAGTGTTTACCAAACACATTTTTAAGCTTAGTTTTTTTTTATACCCATTTTTTATAAAAACACCTCAATTTCCAAACCAGTACTCTAACTGTCAAAGAAATGTGATCAGAAAGAAGATATCTCTCGTCCATGTGATGTGACAAATCCAAAGTATGCATTCACCAAGAACAAATTTAAAAAACGATGACAAATGGTCCAGTGAAAAAGTGGGAACATCAGTTCTCTAAAGAAAAAATAGAAGGTTCTAAGTTCGATACTCTGTAAGCTGTGAATCAACTTGATTGTGATCACAAATAAGATGCAACTCTTAACTAACCTCTTCTGAGCTCGAAAAAAGTGAAGAACTGTAATTCGTCACCAATTGTTCTACGTATGTTCAAGAGACAATCATGCAGATTATAGGAAGAGTGCCGGCATTATCTTAGTCCCATTTCTTTATAGCTTCCAACGATGGAACAGTTTATTTTTTATATTTATTTTTGGAAGAAAAAAAATATTTAGCGCGCCAAATGTAACGCACAGAAGAGCTAATCGTAATTAATTGTCTAATTAATTTACTTTAATTTATTTTGATTGGGTTGAAGACAAATACAGTGGCCTGCCGACCAAGTCAAATATTCGTAGTTATTACATGGACTCTAACTTGTCAACCATTCAACAACTAGTGTCCATTGGATTCGATCCCTCCACGTCATCTACAACCCACATATCAACGGATGAGATCATTTGGAGCAATTATTATTAATCCAAATTACCTTCCTTATGTTTTAGCAATTGTTAATCCTTTTTTGAACAAAAACAATTGTGAATCTAATTAAGTATTAGTTGGTGTTTTATTTAAGGGACAATCTTGTGAAGTAGTTGGTAGCTGATAGATCTAGCTTAAGTATGACCATCTAGTTAACTCAGTTTAATTCGTTAATTAGAAGGTCGAGTTTGATGTGTTTTCTAGTTTCACTATAGAAAGAGCTAATCGTTTGTTTCGACCATAATTTTGATTATAAATTTACAAATTCATAATTCATCTTCTTTGAAAAATGTTCAAAAACTAGCTGCAAGTTTGATGTGTTTTCTAGTTTCACTAGACGAGAGCTTTATAGTAGGCGAATTGTCCTAAATGTGGTTTTCAATATAAAAATGTGGTGTTATGTTGATTTGATGTCGATATATATTGTTGTTATTTGGGTGGCTGAATAGAAGATTTCATATTTTGTTAGTTGCCATTTGGCAACATTCATTGTAAGTTACTAGTGGATTAGAGCTCGTTTTCAGTAATTAACTATAATAAGTACATCTCAATTGTTAATTTTTTTTTAATTTTTGCATAAGGGTATGATTAATTTCCAATGGGGCCGAGACGATGATAAAAGATGGGCTGTATTTTAACATCATGCCAAAGGCTTAGAGATTGGCATCTTAACTTCCTACAACTTGAATTTTTTATTTTTTTTAAATAATGCTAGACACATCACATCTGGTCGAAAAATTCTTAAATCCGACATCAAAATATATCAACTTTGGTAACAATCAACAACACATGTCTCCCCAACGTTTTTAACCACGAAATAACCCGTATTTTTTCCGGTTTCGTATCTCGAACTCAAAACTAAGGAACATACATGATTTAGAATTTTACCGCATTTCAACTGTTAAATTACCCTAATCACAAATGTCCAAATCACTTGGCGGCACACCGCACTCTATGTTCCCTCCAACACTATATTCCTCCACCTCTGAAATGACAGAAAATTCCACTGACTGACGACGACGACAACGACAACGTTTCTGGGAAAATTAATCCCCAAACCCCCCACTCTAATTCAACACAAACGCAGAAGATTGATCAGTTTAAATTAAATCTAAAAAATACCCTTTCAAATTTTTTTTTTTTTGAAAAAGCCCCAGTTTTTTCAGTTTCTTTCCTTTCTAACCTGATGATCCCGCGTTCTCTCTCTCCTCTCTCTCCTCTCTCTCCCACCTGTCACGCACGCCCGGCGGCACCACCCCGACCCACCACCACCTCCCCTAAACGCACCGTTTTGGTATAAAGCCAAAAGGAGAAACCTTGTTCTTTCTTCCTTCTCCCCACTTCTGTTTCTGCTCTGTCAAGCTCGCGCCTTTCTGCTGGAAGAAGAGGAAGACTAAATTTTTGAGCTACCCGAAACGCAGCGTTTTGGTGCGCGGCCATGGGGAACTGCAACGTCTGCGTGAGAGCTGACGTCATAAGTAGCGACGACAAGAATTCCGGCGATAAACAAAAGAAGAAGGCACGGGAGCGGCGGTCCAACCCGTTCTCCGACGACCCGATCCGGTCCCCGGCTCCGATCCGAGTTCTCAAGGATGTGATCCCGCTTGGCCACCGGACCCGGATCGGCGACAAGTACGTGCTGGGTCGGGAACTGGGTCGGGGCGAGTTCGGCATCACGTACCTGTGCACGGACCGGGAGACAAAGCAGGCACTCGCCTGCAAGTCCATATCGAAACGCAAGCTTCGAACGGCGGTACGCACGACGGCTCACAGATCTGAAATCGGAGAAATCCGACATGCCGTTTGGTTTTAGTGGGTTTTTTTGTGATTTGGGTTTTTTGTTTGGTTCAGGTGGATATAGAGGATGTGCGGCGGGAGGTGGCGATAATGTCGACGCTGCCGGAGCACCCGAACATTGTGAAGCTGAAGGCGACGTACGAGGACAACGAGAACGTCCATTTGGTCATGGAGCTCTGCGAGGGCGGCGAGCTTTTCGATAGGATTGTGGCCAGAGGGCATTACAGTGAGCGGGCGGCGGCGAACGTCGCCAGGACGGTGGCAGAGGTGGTGAGGATGTGCCATGCTAATGGGGTTATGCACAGGGACTTGAAGCCTGAGAACTTTCTCTTCTCGAACAAGAAGGAGCACTCGCCCCTTAAAGCCATTGACTTTGGGCTCTCTGTGTTCTTCAAGCCTGGTACTTTTCTGGGATCTTGTTGAATTCTAGACGGATTTTCGGGTTTGTACGGATTTATTTGATTTTATTTGTGTTTGAATTTCATGGATTTTGATTTTGATTTTGTTTGTGTGGGGGTTTAGGGGAGAGGTTTATGGAGATTGTGGGCAGTCCGTACTACATGGCACCGGAGGTTTTGAAACGAAATTATGGGCCGGAGGTTGATATATGGAGCGCCGGAGTGATACTTTACATTTTGTTATGTGGAGTTCCTCCATTTTGGGCAGGTATTCTGGTGAATTTAGCTCCCAAAATATGTTTAAACCCAGTTGATTTTTCGTTATCTGGGCGGTTTGATTTTGGTTTGGGATTGTAACGTTGGTTCTTTGTTTGAATTTTCAATGCGACAGAGTCTGAACAGGGTGTGGCTCTTGCAATCTTGAGGGGGGTGATTGATTTCAAGAGAGAACCCTGGCCTCAGATTTCAGAGAGTGCTAAAAGCCTTGTTCGACAGATGCTGGAGCCAGATCCCAGAAAGCGCTTGACTGCGCAACAGGTGCTTGGTAAGTCTTCAGCAGTGTGTCTCTGAATCTTTACCTGATGGCATTTCAAGAGAGTTGCATAGTTGGTCATGCTTCAACATTTTGATGGCAATAGCATTGCGTTAGTTGGTGCGATGGATGATTATACACTTCTTCTCACTAAATGTGTAATGAATTATAAGGCATCTTGCTTTAGGAATTGGAAAATTATGGAGTCTATATTCCATGGCATTATGTGAATCTAAGCGAAATATCTTGATGTTACGAGAACATGCATTATAGTCGTGTTCACAAGAACATGCATTAGTAAACATCAAACAATACAGACCTACTATGCAATAAATAAATGAAACAAGAGAAATCATTGATGAAAACAATACATTAACAAGATCCTGTATAGTAGCAATTCGGGCCCCAAATGACATAATGCATTAGATAAAAGGCGCATTCTTTTTTTCATTATATCATTTTAACTGCAAGTAGGGGTAAAATTTAGAATAAGTCATAGAACCGGCTGATTTATTTAATAGAGCAAGCTACTGGAACTAGAGATGCTGATTGGAAGCTTCCCTCCAATTATTAATCATTATTTCCAATCACTAGGATTTCTCTATGTTTTTTTAACCTTATTTTTCAGTTGAGGTTTCTGTTTTGTTGTTAGAGTTTGTTGTTTCAGTTTCTCCCTCAGTAGTTTGGTTGTACCACTCTGTAGAGTGATGATATTTTGATTAAATGAACTCTTATTGATCTAAAAATTTGATCTGAAAAAAGAGAAGAAATGATCAATACCATAAAGTTTATGGCTTTATGAAAATCAATTTAATTTTAAATGATTTAGATAAGAAATTGTGTATCCTATTTGATTTAGAGTCCTAGCCAAGGTAAACATTTGAGAATGTTTTCGGTCTTTGACCAAATTGGAGCAAACCCTTTTTTGTGTGCATTAGTTTAGCATTAAACAAGAAAGAAATGAAACTTATGAGTGTGTTTTGGCATGTCTATGCTGAATCGCTGATGCTAGATTGACTAGGTACATAACTTACATTTTGTAAAATAGGTGAACTGAGTTGTGCTTTGCGTTTTGTGATTACAGAACATCCATGGCTACATAATGCGAAGAAAGCTCCAAATGTTCCATTAGGTGATATAGTGAGGCCAAGACTCAAGCAGTTCTCAGTAATGAATAGATTCAAAAAGAAGGCCCTAAGGGTAAGCATCAGTAACCGGTACTTTATGAGTGTCAGTTGAAGTATTGGCTACTATTTTAAAGATTTGTTTTTTACGAAGTATTTAACATTTGGGATTCATTTTTTATTCCAATCAAATACTGTAGGTAATTGCAGAACACTTATCTGTTAAAGAAGTGGAAGTAATCAGAGACATGTTTACATTGATGGACACTGACAAAGATGGCAGAGTAACATATGAGGAATTGAAGTTGGGGCTTCACAAAGTTGGTTCACAATTGGCTGAACCGGAGATTAAGATGTTGATGGAAGTGGTCAGTACTGCGCTTTTGAATTCTTTGACGGAGTTTTTAGTTCTTATCATTTTTCGTTTAACAAACAAAACAATGCCTTCTGTGGTATTTTTCTTTCTATAGGCTGATGTTGACGGGAATGGCGTTCTGGACTATGGAGAGTTTGCAGCAGTAACAATTCACTTGCAGAAGATGGAGAACGATGAGCATCTCCGCAGAGCGTTTGTGTTCTTTGACAAAGATGGAAGTGGATATATTGAATTAGGTGAGCTAAGGGAAAGTTTACAAGATGAATCTGGTGAAACTGATTCTGAGGTGCTGAATGACATCATGCGTGAGGTCGACACTGACAAGGTTTCACTTTCAAGCCTTTTCATCTCTTCTATTGTTTATACTTGCTCCTTGCTCCTTACATCCTGCATTTTCCTGTATTTTTGTACAAATGCTCCATGTGATATAATTTATTGTTCATCTTCGCAAACCATCAGGATGGACGCATCAGTTATGACGAGTTTGTTGCGATGATGAAAACGGGAACCGATTGGAGAAAGGCATCTCGACAGTATTCGAGGGAGAGATTCAAGAGTTTAAGCCTCAACCTAATGAAAGATGGTTCGTTGCAGCTTCACGACGGGCTAACTGGTCAAGCCATTGCCGTATAACTCCTTTTCTTCCTTAGATTGTGCATGCTTGCCGGGGGCTACTTCTCTTTTACTGTCGATACACCTGAAATTCACGGCGGATGGGGTTTTGTAAACTGAGATTTGGGGGCAGATACTGAATCAATCCTCTCGGACTCTATCGGCCTGACTTATTGGTAGGTTGTTAGCTTGTGGCTTCAAGGACTGCATGGTTGTCGGGATCATCGAGGCTTGTGTATACATACGTCGTACGTAGTTCTCCGATCGTGTTGTACCTGTCAATTACACTTGTATATTTGTCATGTCTACATCATTGTGTTTGATGGTTTGCATTCTAAATTGGTCGGCAGGCGATTTGTTTCTTCATTGACCTTATGAGCTTTGAGGGTGTTCTCATTTTGTATTTATTAAAAGTGATCCTGATTTGTTGTATCATCTTCGCGAAAATGATTTGTGCACGCCTCTTTTCTCTTTCAGCACGTCTTTGTTTATTTTTGTGCATTGATTCTCATTTGGATTATTTAATTTAGTAGTTAGAAACATACACCGGAGAAAATGGATGCACGAAAATCGCATTCCACTAATTTGCTAATTTATTCTTTTCTTTGAAAAAAAGAACTATGGCTTCTGTCACGTAAGTTCACTTTTTCTAGAGACTGAGAAGACTCACAGAGACATTTCAACCATTTTTTGGCCACGATCGTGTGGTTTGATTCACCAGTACCAGGAATCACCTGGAATTTGGCTTTTGTGATGACCTTTTAACTTGTCATATTAATATGTTTTTAGTGCATGGGTATTATGCAAAGAAATAGCAACAATATTGTATATAAAAAGATAATTATATCCTTAAAATATTAATATTTGTGTAATCAGCATACTTAATTCACCTCTAAATTATACTCCCTACCCAAATCACAAAGATCCTTACCAGAAACAGCTTCAGAATATTCTGGAAAATCTATTTGGGTCCCACTATTGTAAGGGCTCCACTCAGCTCAACTCAAAACCATTTTTATGGATTTATTAATTATGTATAAAAACCATTCTCTTATTTTTTTATTTATATTTCATACTTATTATGTTCAAAATATACGGTTTATTTTTCACGTTAACGTAATAGATAGGTCTAGTTTGTAGGTGCCGTGATTTTTTTTGTCTGACCTCCCCATCTTATACTTTTCTCATCCCGTCATATTTATGTGGTCATGATTAAACCACGTCAACATTTTATATTGATTTTTTTATAGAAATAATAAAACAAAAAACAATAGGAATATAAAATGTTGACGTGGTTTAACCGTGACCACAGAAATAGGATGAGATGAAATGGGGGAGGGCAAACAATCCAGGTCCTTTTTTTTACGAAAAGGGATCCTCTCCGGATCCCTTCCACCAAATCCATTAATTTGGGTCTTTAAAATATAATCTAACGGCTAAAGTTATTATAAATTTTAAAATGAACCTCTGTTTTTAACTGTTGAATCAAATTTCAAGGGTCCGGATTAATGAATTTGGTAGATTTGGTGAAATAAATCTAGAGAGTATCCGTTTTCTTTTTTTTACAACTGCTTCTGTTATGTTGTAACAATAAAGCTATGAAAAAAGCAGGTAAGTATTTTGTACTCTAGTGCTAAAAATACTTTTAGCAAAAAATCAAGAAAGGTAGTATTGTTGATATGAAAGTTTCATTAAAAGCTGTTTGTACCATACTTGACCAATCCCGAAACTACTGAGTACCGGTCAACGTTATACCGTCAATGACCCAGAAGAGTTTCCCTCCAACCAGGAGGCCAATCATAGCGCGACACGTGTCAAAATCAGAAACCAATCATAACGCGACATGTGTCAACATCAGAAGCCAATCACAACACGATACGTGTCAATATCAGAATGAAACTAGAAACTCTCTTCTATAAATATAGATCATTCTCTCACAATATTTCCTAATGTCATTTGTACTCAATCATTCACTAGTACTCACTAAAGGAGAGCTTGAACCTATGTACTTGTGTAAACCTTCATAATTAATGAGAACTCTTCTACTCCATGGACGTAGCCAATCTGGGTGAACCACGTACATCTTGTGTTTGCTTCCTTATCTCTATTCATTTACATACTTATCCACACTAATGACCAGAGCAATCTAGCGAAGGTCACAAACTTAACACTTTCTGTTGTATTAAAGTCTTCACTGATTTTGTGCATCAACAAAAGCTATTGTTCATTTGCCTCCTATAAAAAATAACATATTTTTAGAAGCATAACTAAAGTTGCTTTTGCCGTCTATTGTTTGAGCCCCATAATTTTGTAGGAAAAAAAAAACACTTCTACCAAACACAATTTTTAGCTCCAACTTTTTTTAAGAACTTGAAGTGTTTTTGGAGTCTAAGACCATTTTTTCTGGGCTAAATAGCCAAAATAGTTTCTGAGATTTGCATAACTCATCACTTTGGTCCCTAACATTTCAAATCGATAAAAGTGGTCCCTGAGATTGTCCACCATCCATCAATTTGGTCATTTCATTAAAAACTCCGTTAAGTATCCCAGAGCTCTTGGCCAGAAGTTTGGGCAATTTTCAAAACTTTGTAACTCAATCGTTTCTTAACCAAATTCAACCCATAATATATCAAAATGAAAATAGGAAAGTGTAGAATAAGATTATACCTATTTGGAAGCCCAATGGCTGCCGGAGATGGTCGGAAAATAACCTCAAAGTTGATTCGTCCGAGGGAAAACTGGAAAACTTGCCATAAACTGGGTAAACTTTAAACGTTCATAACTTCTTCAATACTCAACGAAATCAAGTGATTCAAAAACTAAAATCATTCTTCTCGATAAGACGAAAAGAATGGTACATTTTTTGACGGCTAACTCGCTGTGATTTGGCCGACTCGAAAGTGGATGTCTTGGTCTTGAGTTAGCCTGATTTGTATAATCTTCTCGAAAATGATTTGTGCACGCCTCTTTTCTCTTTCAGCACGTCTTTGTTTATTTTTGTGCATTGATTCTCATTTGGATTATTTAATTTAATAGTTAGAAATGTACAACGGAGAAAATGGATTCACGAAAATCACATTCCACTAATTTGCTAATTTATTTATTTTCTTTGAAAAGGGGACTATGACTTCGTCAAATCAGCTCATCTTTTTGGAGACTGAGAAGACTCACAGAGATGTTTCAACCATTTCTTGGCCACGGTTGTGTGATTTGAATTTGATTCACTAGTGCTAGGAATCACTTGAAATTTGTCTCTTGTGATGACCTTTCAACTTGTCATATTCATATGCTGCAAAGAAATTATATCCTTAAAATATTAATATTTGTGTAATCAGCATACTTAATTCACCTCTAAATTATACTCCCTACCCAAATCACAAAAAGATCCTTTACCAGAAACAGGTTCAGAATATTCTGGAAAATCTATTTGGGTCCCACTATTGTAAGGGCTCCATTCAGCTCAACTCAAGACCATTTTTATGGATTTATTAATTATGTATAAAAACCATTCTCTTATTTTTTATATTTCATACTTATTATGTTCAAAATATACGGTTTATTTTGCACGTTAACGTAATAGCTAGGTCTAGTTTCTAGGTGCCGTGATTTTTTTTTACGGGAAGGGATCCACCAAATCTATTAATTTTGACTTTTGAAATTTGATTACACGGCTAAAGTTATTATAACTTTTAAAATGGATCCCTGTTTTTTACCGTTTGATCAAATTTTAAGAATCCGAATGAATGAATTTGGTGAATTTGGTGGAAGAAATCTTGAAAGGATCCATTTCCTTGTTTTACAATTGCTTTTGTTATGTTGTAACAATAAAGCTATGAAAAAAGCAGGTAAGTATTTAGTACTATAGTGCTAAAAATACTTTTAGCAAAAAATCAAGAAAGGTAGTATTGTTGATACAAAAGTTTCATTAAAAGCTATTGTTCATCTGACTCCTATAAAAAAATAACATTTTTTTAGAAGTATAGCTAGAGCTACTTCTGACGTCTACTGTTTTAGACCCATAATTTTGTAGAGAAAAAAAAAAACACTTCTACCAAACACGATTTTTAGCTCCAACTTTTTTAAGAACTTGAAGTGTTTTTGGAGTCTAAAACCATTTTTTCTGAAAGCAGTTTCAGTTATTTTAATACACTTTCAAACGATTCCAAAGACACGTTACAATTTCATCCCTAACCATTTCAAATTCATCTTAAAAATTCCTTGAATCAATTGACATAATTTCGGGAGTAGGTACAAAATAATTACAAAAAACTATTATTCCAATTAATTAATCGCTATTAAAACATTTTCCCTTTAATTAATTGGGAGACCCACCTTAAACTCTCCATGATATCGTCCCCGCCGGTTACTCTTCACAAATCATAACGTAAAAAAAAAAAAAACGAAATCCAGAAAACGCAACCGAGAAAATTCGAAAGTCCGAAAACAAAGAAGAAGCAGGCGATTGCAGCGGCGGCAATGGGGGTGGACTACTACAACATACTGAAAGTCAATCGGAACGCGAGCGAGGATGACCTGAAGAAGGCGTATAAGAGGCTGGCCATGATTTGGCACCCGGACAAGAACCCCGCCGGAAAGAGGCCGGAGGCGGAGGCCAAGTTCAAGCAAATATCCGAGGCCTTCGACGTCCTCAGTGACCCCGCCAAGCGCCAGATCTACGACCTTTACGGCGAGGAGGCCTTGAAATCGGGGCAATTTCCGCCTCCCTCGTCTTCCTCCTCCGCTCGCTCCTCCTCCGCCGCGGGCCACCACTACTACGCCAACCACAACAATCACCACCAGCGCCACGCGCACCCGAATACGTCGTCGTTCAGGTTCAATCCCAGGGACGCCGATGACATTTACGCCGAGATTTTTGGATCCGACGGTGGAGGTGGTGGGGGTGGTGGCGGAGGGAGGTATAGAGACGGGTTCTTTAGGATGCCCAATGGGGGTGGGCCGGAGTTTGTGGGTACCAGTAGCGGTGGTGGGGCTGCCCCTCAGAGGAAGGCCAATGCGGTCGAGAATTTGTTGCCGTGCAGCTTGGAGGAGCTCTATAAGGGTGTCAAGAAGAAGATGAAGATTTCCAGAAACATCTACGGCGCCGTTAGTGCTGGGTAATTTTACTCCACTGCACTATCTATCTTTCATTCCCAATTCTTTAGTTTCTTTAGTCTCAAGCAAAATCCCGAATCTTTATCTTTTTCTTGTTGTTTACTTGTGTTTGCAATGCCAATCGGTATTTGGGTAGTCTTTCTTTCTTTAGAAATGTTAGTGCCTTTAGTCAAGCCGTGATCTTTCCCTTTGATAGGTTATCCGATTGCGAAATGTTTTGAATAATGTATGACATTTGTATTAATCTTTTATAAGTTGAGTAACAGACTAGCAGTAATGAAATGTAAACAAGCGTATTGTGTGGTTTTTGTCACGTAAAGGCACCCGTTAAATCAAATTTAGCACGAACAAGATTGAAACTTGT